AATAAAAACAGTTTATCATTGAACATAATATTTGAACAATATTGGGAGGGGGGGGGGGTGCAGTACACTAGTATTCATAATAAGTTAATGTATGTTAAGTACCTGCTGATGTGAACGCTGAAATCTCCTCTAATAGTTCCAGGTGAAGCGTCAGCAGGGTTAGTGTCTCCCACCAGCATACGCGATGACCTCACCACATTATGCCCCTCCCACACCTGGAAACAAGCCAATGATAACTCCTCAACTACACTCTAAAAAATGCTGGGTTGTTTTAACCCAACTTTGGGTCAAATATGGACTAACCCAGCCGTTGGGTTAAATTTTTACATTACATTTTTAACCCAACATTTCGGGTTTGTCCATATTTTACCCAAAATTGGGTTAAAACAACCCAGCATTTTTTAGAGTGTACCATGTGTAAAACTTACTTTTGGATGTTCATTAATCACATTGGAAATCAAAGTATGTTCTGGTTGGACACATTTTGTCAAATGCATTAGGGTTTTGCACTCTTATTTAGAAATAGTATTACAGCTGTATGATATTCATAACTGGTCGTTACCATGGCGACTACAGGGCCAGTGGTCATGTAGTACAGGAGGCTGGAATAGAAGGGTTTCTTCTGCAGCGACACGTAATGCTGAGCTAAAAGCTTGTCAGAAGCCTGAAAAATACAGACACATGATGAACAAACACGTCACACACACACACACTCATGAATGTCTTGTGTGTGTATCCCGCACCTGCAGCATCTTCAGACCCACCAATCGGAATCCTCGCTGCTCAAAGCGCTTGATGACGTCACCGATGAGACGCCTCTGAACGCCATCAGGTTTCACAGCGACAAAAGTCCGTTCTTTAATGCCCGACAAATCTACAGCAGTTCAGAAATATATCGATAACTATCCTATTTCATGGTCACTAGTACTACACACATTTTGTTTTCTTCAGTGTAATGATAAATTTGTTAAAAAGCAAACAGCGCCATCTATTGCCCAAGTGTGAGACACACAAAAGAAGGCAGTTTCCAGGGGGAGGATAACATTAAAGTTTACATAAATTTAAAAAAAAATGTGCAGTGATAAATCCAGTATAATAAAAATGGAAAACATTTTGTATAAAATAAAATATATTTTGATTTCATTGTGACTTTAAAATTATGCACTTCTTTTGAGATTTTAGGTCAAGCAAATTTTTAATTTGGACGACATTTATGATATCTGGATGTCTTTTTGTTAAATTTAAAATACCAAAGCATTTATTATTTTAAACAAACTTCTTTTTGTAAAAAAAAATATATATATATATATATTTAGCTTTAAGTGTCGACTTGTGTCAAGTGTGTTATTTTTATTCACAACACTTGCTTTGATATTTTGTTTACTAATATAATGACAATCTGCCATTTTATAAATCAGAATGCCAATGTATTTTACACTGTTTGTGGCTGTTGTAATAATTACACATTTTGGATTAATGATAAATGTTTAGAGTATTTTAGCACTTAAATTTTAATTATGTATCACTTGTTTGTCTTATAAATTTGAAAACATGTTCTTCTGAAAGCAAGTGTTGTTCAAGTAAATTAGATTTGCAGGGATCCTACCAAAGAAAATGAAGAAACTTTATAAACAAAGCTTCCTGCCATTATATTAAGTCATTGTCTCTCACATATTGGTCATTTAGCAGCATTTTGAATAATCATTGCAGGACCAGAGTGATATTTCATCTGATATCATCAGACAAATGATGTGTTTTGCCAGACCATCTCTTACAGGAAAACCAAAGTTCCTGCAAACGTGACACACACGCGATCACTTACAGTCATTCCTTGAAGCTTGATCAAATTAAGGTGGTTCCACCCACACACACACACACACACACACACACAAATGTGGTCAGTTTGAGCCCAAATGTTGCCAAGACGCATTCAATACAACACTCTGGTTGGCCTCCAGATGGACCAATCACACGCACTGTGAAGAGGGAGTTTGAGGTCACCAGTTAGTCGGGTTTAATCGGCCTTTTTAAGATTTAGATGTATTTACAGTAGTCAACATTTGAACTGGATAAAAAAAAAGTCCATCAAAGTTGTCCTAAGACAAGAACGGGTATTGTTAAAAATGCATGTATCTTTGATGAAAGGTTTTGATCCACTTCAAACGTTGACCACTGTATATCTATTTAATAAGTGTGGTGCTTCAACAAACTTATTTCAGTTTATTACCAAGGCAACATTTCTTGTTTTCATTTAGTATATAAAATTTTCAGCTTTATTTAATTTAACTAAAATATATTTAACACATGTGCAAACCTATGGAATTACCATGATATTAATGCAATAATATAATGTGCTTTTTAGTGGATTACAGTTGAAGGAGTTTCAAGTTTGAGATGTGAGTATTGTATGCTCATGTGTAGTTTGTGCATGATTTCAGTTTCAGTGTGTGATACAGAAAGCCATTTCAATGTTGACCTGTGCAACTAAATCTATTAAGTGTGAGACAACGACTTGCACGAGCTCCATGTGGTCGGCACTCACTCACGTGAGGACGCAATAACACAATTAACCAATCACTGATCGCCTGAAGACAGAGCAAGTAGTGAAACAGAGCACATACAGTTTAATTCTATATAGATACAACTTTGATTTAAAAAAAAATATATATATATATATATTGTAAGGGTTGTAACAATATAAAGTACTGATAACCGTGCTACATTCTTTTAGGCTTATAGGCTACAACATGAACTTTTACCATATTCATTTTTATCATGGTAAATTACATCGAAGTATCTCAATGGCTACCGTGAAAAGTTTCTAAAAACTGCCTTACAACAATTACCATGGAATAGCAATGTTGTCAATCTAATACAACGGTAACTTACCACTACCCTGAGGTAACGTTACGTGTACAAAACTCATCAAAGTTGTTTAGTATATACGATCAATAAAATGGTATTGTCGTTATACTATTAATGTTCCCTGTCCTAAAACTTTTCCATAAAGCGCACTTTTTGCACTAAACCTGTTTGTTCTCCACACAGAGAGAGATGTAAACAGACCTGTGTCACTGCTGAGGCTGCGCGCGTGCCCGTGTCCCAAAGCGCGCGTGGAGCTCCGTGTGGCCGCTCGCGCTCCGAGGACGCCGAGGGCAAATCTCACAAACATCATCTTCATTTCCAGGTCAAGCCCTTCTCAAAACTGCACCGACGCTTTTTCAACTCCGAAACTTATGAGCGGTCCGATACTTTAAACCCCCGGACCGTTATACATACGCACGCGCGCGGTCATTCACCCGACAGGTCAAAGTCATGCGAGCACGAGCAGTCACATATTAGCCTATGTTCAGATGATGTGCGTGTCATGGGGAGACCCGCAAATTACAGTGCAATACCGGTCATCACGTGCACAAACACGATCTCTTAATTAACACAATTGCCTGTTTAGAGGCTCATGAAAGATAGACGCACAAAAATGCATTTAGCCATATGAAAAAGACAGCTAAATAATAACAATAAAAAAACGTAACTGAATTTATTTGTACTTTAAATTATTTTGATTCGAATAAAGAGAATATTTTTGTCAGATTTTATTTTATTTTAAAGGGACATTTTGTTTTGTATTCTTTCCCAAAAGTGAAGTGAGGTCAAAAGACAGACAGACAGACACTAATCGATTGCTGGCAGGGAGACAAAACAGTAAATGTAAGCCTTTGGAGAACAAACACAAATAGGACAGGGGCCTACTTTTGATCATTTCAAACAGAAGATTCAATCCCATTAACTGACAACTGTTAAGAAGATCTCTAAGATGTAAGGATTTAGAATTCATGTTAAACTGACATCTTATAAACGTCTATTTGACATCTGACAGGAAACGTCCTAGACGTCTTGCAGATGAGCAAACACTCTTAAAAATACCTCTTCCAGATGTAAATTGCACATCATATAGCCTTGTGCTATCATTGACCACTAGAGGTCACGGTTTAACTTTACCATTATCAATCCACTTCATTTAATCTCATTCGTTCTAAGTGACATTCAAGGTGCATGTTATTTATGATTGTATGGCTTCTTTTATACTTACATGTGTTATTTTAAACAAGGTCAAGATTTATAGCATTATAAATTCCAGACACACACTCAAAAAAAAAAGGGGGAAAAAAAAAGAAAAGAAGAAAGAGGCTTTCCTCCCAAGGCTTGAAGAACTGGCCTCAACTTGCCTCACCTGAAGGTGATGTAAACAGAGAAATCCCACTGGAATGAGAACTTTAATAGGATTCCTGCAGTAACACTTTTATAGTTAAATGCAGGTAGTTGTTGTTATTGTTGTTGTTGTTGTTAAGTCTCTACACATCCTGATAGCAATCACTAAGTTAAGTGCATGGTCTAGCTGTTCATTTCATCTGTGGAAGTCCAATATGACGTCCTACCTTTCTGTCAACATATGTTCATCCATACCTCGGCGCACCTGTTGCACAGCCACAGACATCACTCATCAGTGGGTTTCATGAAGAGTTAGACAGACGTCAGTCACGAGCATGACCGGAATGATGGGAGGGACTGTGTCTGTTCAGGTGTTACAAGAGAAATAACCAGGAAGGATCTCCTCACAATCGTACTAAACTTTAATGTGGACACAATTTATTAAGACACTCTTGAAAACACAGTGATTGTTGATTTTACCAGACACACATTTACCTGAAGTCTGGAACGAGTGTGACTTGAGCATGATGTTTGAGTTCAACAGATTTAATGCATGATATAATATTTAATCTTGTAAATAAATGAAAGATTTTTGTATCAAAAATTTTATATATGCATTTTTGAAAATGAAATCATCATTCAATGACCTTTAACATATGTTTATATCTAGGCCTATTTATTTGTACTACATACACGTGTATTTTTGTCTTGACCAGTTTAACCGGTTTTCTTTGAACAGAAAGTGATTGTAAATGTGTATCTCTCTTTTGGACAGAAGGTTAAGTGTAAGTGTTATTCTACGGCATAAAGCATGTATGCTGACAAACTTTTCTGAAGTTTCTCTTTTTTCATATTTTCTTTTTAGCATCCGTGTCTCAGAGATGAAGTTCATTTATTTGACTCTCCTGCTTGTTAGTGGAATAACAGATTCAAGATCAGGTAATTTATTAATCATTGTGAATAATATTTATACTTTTACACAATACTGTTCGTCTGGAACAACACTTGGGTAAAAACCTTGAGGATGAGTACACTCTAAAAAATGCTGGGTTGTTTTAACCCAATTTTGGGTCAAATATGGACAAACCCCAAACCCGAAATGTTGGGTTAAAAATGTAATGTAAAAATTTAACCCAACGGCTGGGTTAGTCCATATTTGACCCAAAGTTGGGTTAAAACAACCCAGCATTTTTTAGAGTGTAGTTCAGATCTGCTCTTTCTCTTGTAACAGAGCAGTTTGAAGTAGTGGGACGTGCCGATCCTGTATTTGCTGTCCCTGGTGAAGATGTGATTCTGCCCTGTTCAGTCAATCCCAGCGTCAGTGTTGTGGACATGAGAGTGGAGTGGTTTAGATCTGATCTGAAAGACTCACAGCTAGTGCATCTCTATGATGATCATGAAGACAGAAACACAGATCAGATTCAGTCCTACAGAGAGAGAACAAAACTGGTCCATCAAGAACTACAGAGAGGAAACGCATCACTCAAACTCTCAACAGTCCGAGTCTCAGATGAAGGAGTTTATAAGTGTTTTATTCAGTCTAAATCCTGCTTTGACGAGGCCACTGTTGATGTCAGAGTTGAAGGTGAGGAAACCAGTGAGAACTAGCATGCTCTTTTCACAGAACAAACTAAATTAAAAAAAGCCAGAATAACAACATGATGTTCTTGCTGATCTGCAGCTGTAGGACGTCCTCCAGTGATCACTGTAGATGGGTTTGATGGTTCAGGAGGGTTTCATCTGCAGTGTGAATCTGAAGGTTGGAATCCTGAACCTGATCTTGAGTGGCTGGACAGTGAAGGAGTCGGTTTGAGTTCAGAAACTACAGAGACACACAGAAACACAGACGGTTTCAGTGTCAAACACACCATCACTGTATATGACAGTGGCAAGTTTCACTGCAGAGTCAAACTGAGACATCATATGCTGGAGACACTGATCATCACCACAAGTAAGTACTGACACTTCTGTTACTGGTAAACAAATTAAGAATGATTATCAGCTTATTATATGATGGTAAAAGCATTTCGTTTATAATAGAGTTTTACATTTTACGAGTTAAGAGATTTACAAGTATAAAATTTTATGTGCCATTCCAAACTGAACATCTGTCAAACACATGTAAAAATGTTTGATTTGTTTAGCAGATAATAGGTTTATTTCTTGGAGAACGTCAGTCATCCTGGTTTCAGTTTTTGTTGTGCTCATTGGGGTTTCTGGAATACTGGTAGCAGTGTTTGCTCATAAAAACAGAGGTAAAGTTCATTTTTTCTCTTTGTAAATATATATATATATATAGACCATTTCACAAGATGTAAACAACACTGGTCCAGAAGCACTTCCTGTTTCAGTTTTTTAACACTACATAAAAGCTGGGATAAAATACAACCAACAGAACATTTAAAACTGAATCAAAAAGTTAAACAAACATCTTTAAGATGTTTTCTTTACATGTGAAATAAAGAAAACAGTTAGAAACTGAAACAGGAAGTGCTTCTGGACCAGTGTTGTTTACATCTTGTGAAATGGTCTATACTTTTTGTGTGTGGATTCAAAAAAATAATAATTCACTGTATTAAAGGGGTGATGATCTGTGAAATCACTTTTTCAGCTCATTAAGTTACAAAACCCCTAAAATGAATTCCGTTTTGGAATCTGATGTAAATCTGGTTTAGGCTCATGCTAGGGATATTGTCAGTATTCTATTTTGGTGCTTGATATCATTGGAAAGGGGACCTTTTAGGCTTTTATTTAAGCACAATACTGAATCTGTTTGACAAACACAGAGGTGACGTCTTTAAACCAAAAATAACACACATGTTTCTAAATTTCCACCTCTATATGCGTTCTTTTGTTCCTCTGGCATAAAGAACACCAGGGACACAAAACCCATATTGTTTGAGCCTTAAATTAGACATGTGTCTTCAAAATAGAATAGAACCAATAGAATGGGCAAATAGAATGCCCTATTAGTCCTGGACCAAATGGCATATTTATTCATGTACAGTTGTAATAAAAACTAATTGTTCCAATAGTGTTGTCAACATAACACTTGCAAGTGGTTTAACAAAATGTTTCTAACATGTATTTTGATATTAACCCACTTTCAGTTAGAATGTCAGAAAGTAGCTCATGCAAGCAATGTTGATGGATTTTGGCAGTTTGACAAGGTTTTATCAGTTTTGTGAAAATATTGTTGGTTCATTTGACTGGTTATGACAACACTACAAACTATGCCATCTTCAATCAACTTCCATTGAGTTCCAGAGGTATTAAATGTAAGTACAAAATACTTTTTCTCTTGTGCTTGTGAATTGGTGGGGAATAGAAGCTAATGTACCGTATTTTCTGCACTATAAGGCGCACTTAAAAGCCTTTAATTTTCTCAAAAACCGACAGTGCACCTTATAATCCGGAGCGCCTTATATATGGATCAATTAGTTAACAACACTCCGCGTTATTAAATTCGCCCGCGAACTTGCGCTCGTGTCCATCTTATGCACGCTTTGTCACACGGCCAGTTCAAACCATAGACTGTAAAAAATAGGTTTAACCTCGTATAAATCAGGTTATGTGTGTCTCCCGCTCACGAGCGCTCACTCTTAACAGTCACACGAACAGACACACTGTCCCCGGCGCTGCTCGCGTGTCACAGAATGTTCATAAAGCGCTCCCCGTTCACAGTAACCGGGTGGTCTCATTCAAAACAGCCAGCTGTTGCTGTCAGCGAGCCGCCGCACATTGAATACTCATATGAGTCAGGCTGCGAATGTAAGTTATGTGCCCGCCCCAGCGCGCTCACACTAATAAATGCCTCACCTCCGGCGCCGCGCACTCACTACATTCCCTTTAGCAGCACATTTAGTGGATGCATAACGCAAACCCAGTCAAACGATTGACTGCAGTATCTTATGCGCCTTATAATACGGCCCTATATATGAAAAATGTTCTAAAATAGGTCATTCATTGAATATGCGCCTTATAATCCGGTGAGCCTTAAAGTGCGGAAAATACGGTAAGCTTGGCGTTTTTAGCTGGCTAGCTTTCTAGCAGGAAAGCTAACTTGCAGGTTAAACAGTGTAACAGTTACTGCTACAGTGCAGTCAGGGCTCTCAAGTGTCACGTGACAGTCACTCATTTCAGTCTTTTGTCACACCCTCTCGCCACACATTGTATTTCTCACATCGAAAAATGTATCAGGCTACTACTGTAACCTGTGTTCCCTGAGAACAGGGAACGAGACACTGCGTCGAATGACGCTTTGGGGAACGCTTCAGGCGTGACAGGTGTCTGAAATCACAATCAAATCACGTCAATCACATTGACCGGCGACAGCCCGTGAAACATTAATGTGAATGATTAACATGCGACCTGGAAGTGTAAAAGGGTGCCTTGAAAACATGACAATAGTCTGAAGGGGCTGTTCGGTAGGCTGGCCCCGAAGCATGGCAAGAAGACGCAGTGTCTCGTTCCCTGTTCCCTGTTACAGTCGCAACCTGAGACGTTCCCTTTCGAAAGGGAACTCGCACTGCGCCAAATGACGCTTTGGGGAACAATATACCCACATCGCCATGCTAAGGGGAGTGCATGCCCATTGGCAGTGACAACTGTCAGAATCAGCAAATTCAAATGAAATGCTAGAACCACTCCCTCTGGTCGCACATTCCCTACAGTCATAGCCCAAGCTATGAGCCTCACAGGAAAACATGGTTAAATGGAAGGCCTACTTGGGACTAGGACCACAACTTCAAGAAAGGGTCCCTTCTAGGGAATGTGGCTAGGGTCATACTATCCCCTAAGGAACCCCAGCCAATCACTATTCAGGGGAACGTACTCACCCCAAAATGCCATCAGGATGGCCTGACCTGGTATCAGTTACATAGACACTTAGCCTGGCCACATCCTGTCTGTCCGAAGACAGAGTCTCTGGACACTTGCCTTTAGGTAAGGCATCCAACCCGAGGGACTGCGAAGCTGCATGTGAACCTCTCGTGAACCTCATCTCAGACACGGGATAGTATGACTCAGCAAGTGTTTTCCAATCCTTGCCAGCGAGAGGAGTTTCTCAACTCGATCCATTGATCTACCCATTGTTTGTGTTTCAAAGCACTGAAAAGGCCTGTAAAGGCCTAAGGGCTGATCTAACTGGGAGGCCTCACAAAAGGCCTACAAACGTCTGATCTGTCCACATGCTCATAGTGACCCTCTGTGAGGGGAGCACATGGTCCGACTGGTAGTCAAACCAGGCTGTAGGCAGAAAAGAGGTTCCGGAAGGGAACCAGTACAGAGAATAAACACTTTAGTCAAGCCAGGGCCTACGACTTGATAACCGCAGTCTGTGGGCACTCCCCTTCAGGGAGGCCTGGTGAGGCCTACTACCTGACACTTTCCATTCAGGGAGGCCTAGTGGGGCTTACTACCTGACAGCCACAATATATGGGAGCTCACATTCAGGTAGGCCTGGTGAGGCCTATTACCTGGGAGTCACAGCATGTGGGAACTCCCCTTCAGAGAGACCCGGTCAGGCCAACTACCCGATTGTAAGTCAGGCTTGTTGTCCAGTTGCCTGTCCTTCGGCTTGCCTCAAGGAAGGCCTGGTAAGTTAATAATAAGTTAATACCATTTATGAGTCTTCCCCTACCATCCTAGGAAAAAAAATATCACTCCCCAGATGTAGATCTACATTTTGCTTCGTTTTGCTCTGACATTTAACGGCGTGCACATACACGCGGAATCACTCGGACATTTAACAGTGTAGACATACACGTATACATGCGGATAGCTCAAAATGCGTATAGATAACACACCACTTGACTTGAAAGTGGCGTGTATGTTTACGCAAAAGACGCCATGATGCCATGTTGCATGGGCGATGACGCAGGGACTCGATGGGTTGATCCAGGTGAAGTTGATGGCAGGTGAAAACAGGTCTGAGAAGTGCCGGGTGAACAGATAATCCAGATGGGAACGATAAACCAACAGACAAATCCAGTACAACACAACATGAAGACCAAGAACTCCACAACAATCTGACAAAGACAGGATGAAAATTGTGAATATGAATAGGCATCACTGATCAGCTGCAGGTGACGCTGATCCGCGGTGGTGTTGAGACCACGCCCACGCGCACAATAACAAACACATGAGACAAGAAGGAGCAGTGAATTCAAGAAACTTGTCAGTACCTCTCCTCCTAGGACACCCTTACCTGTCGATTGTAATCATCGATATGATCCAGGATGTCCCTAGCAGGTACAGTACCTCCCAGTCCACGAGATACTGAAATCCAAGTCCCCTCTGTCTCGAATCCAGTATACGATTTACCGAATATGTAGGTTCCCCAGCTACGAGTCACAGCTTTCCTCCTACGCATTTCAGCACGTACCTTCTCACGCATTTCCACCACTGTCTATGATTTCCACACGTACCATCTCCTCCGACGTCTTCTCTCATTTCTACCTTTCAGTTTTAGTAATTTCACTAAAGTGAACTGTTTTTCCACATCAATAAGCTCCAACTCCAACATGATCAGCTCTCTTTCAGTCGATATTGCTTGTAGTAACCTAGCCGTGAGGAATCTAAACACAGTGGAACATTAAAACCCTCCGCCGCCAACTAGCGTTTCGGAGCAGTACTGCAGAGCAACCAAGACCTGAACGCAGAAGTATAAATGCTCACAACGGCGTCGCCTACGTGCGTAGCCAACGCCGTGCACTACGGCGTACCCTCGACGCAGAAGTATAAATTGGCCTTTAGCCTTGGTGCGCGCCCCCACCTGGAGTAGAGTCTCACAATCTCTAGTCCACATGCGGTGGCACCTCTGGAAGAAGGCGTGAGCGGAGGGGACCACGACTTTTGATTCCAGGCTGGGAAAAATTGGTGGCTGGTACTCTAAGCTACACTCAAACCACAGGCAATATTCATAATTACACAGAAACAGTCAGTGACTATATCTGCTGGTGCACCTCCATATGTGTTCCAGAACGTCCTGTCCATGTTTTTCCAAATCCAGACTTCTGACGGAGTCTCACCCAGAGTCCTGAGGCCTGTGCTAAACATCTAGCAGGTCTGTACACCGACATTTTCAACCAGTCCCTGTCACAAGCAGTAATTCCACATCTGTTCAAGTCCTGCACTGTGATACCAGTTCCTAAGAAACCTGACACTTCAACCCTGAATGACTTCAGGCCTGTGGCCCTAACACCAGTTGCCATTAAGTGCCTAGAAAAGTTGGTCCTGACACATAAATTCTCACTTCCCAGACACTGCAGATCCAGTACAGTTTGCCTACCGCCCTAACAGATCAGTGGACGATGCAGTAGACTTTGTTTACAAAACATATGTTAGGAAGCTATTTCTAGACTATAGCTTCCCCTTTAATACCATCCGTCCTGCAAAACTTATTGTAAAGATAACATACCTCGGACTGCCTACAATTGGATTTTGGACTTTCTTCTAAACAAAACCGCTGGTGGTAAAGATGGGAGGGGTAATATCAGAAAATCTTACAGTTAGCACAGGCACGCCCCAAGGCTGTTGCCTCAGCCCAAAGCTCCATTTACTGTACACAACCTACTACACACACACGACTGCATCTCCACTCAGGACAGCTCACTCGTCATCAAATATGCAGATGACGCGACCATCTTGGGCCTTATTAAAGGTACAGGGAGCTTGTCAATGACATCATTGTCTATGGAGAGTTATGACCTGTTCCTCAATGTAGACAAGACCAGAGAGCTTGTCATAGACTTTAGGATGAAAAGCCCTCCTCTGCAACCTCTCACCATCAAGGGCACTGTGGTGCAGAGGGCCGACAGCCACAAATTATTTACCCTGCATTTGACATCTAACTTCGACATTTGACATCTAGCTGGACTACAAACACTGTTACCACTGTGAAGAAAGCTCAAAAACGCCTTTATATTACCAGGCTTTTAAAGAAGGCTGGGCTTAGGATGTGCCCTCTTACTCATGCCTATAGAGGACTTGGCATATGGCTTCATCCTGTGGTTTGGAAATGCAACACAGGCAGAGAAGAAGTCTCTCCAAAGAGTTATAAAGACTGCAGATAGAAACATTGGGACTAACCTCCCACCTATCACCACACTGTACATAGAGCGCTGTAAGAAGAAAGCTCAGTCCATACTTAGTGACACTCATCCTCCAGCTCACTCACTATTGAGGCCCACACACCCTACAGCCTGAGACACAAAGAAGCGGACAGTATCGTCACACATGAAACACACTTTAACAATAGCTTCTATCCAGCAGCAGTGAGACTAATGGCTAACTCATAGAAATAGGGAGCCCGTTCTCATCCCAAAGCGCCATATACGACGCTTTTGCAAAAGCGTAAATATCCAACGCACATGGCACCCTTTAACGTCAAATGAGACGCAGATATATTTGGACAGAAGGCGCCCCCTAGTGGTCTAACCCTAACCCTACACCCTACCTAAACTTAACCATAACCGAAGCGTCTCATTAGACGGTAAAGGGTGCCATGTGCGTTGGATATTTACGCTTTTGCAAAAGCGTCGTATATGGCGCTTTGGGATGAGAATGCGTTGAAATAGGGTATATATAGTATAAACAGCTAGCAAGCACTGGTGCACTTTGTTGTTTTTTGCAATGCAGTACAATTCCTATGTATGTGTAAAATTTTCTTTGTGCTATAGAAAAGGCAAATAAAACTTTGAACTTTATGTCATGACAAAAAAAAATTTGAATTAACGGACATTATGTATTCACATACTTTTATATCTACGTAAATTTGTAATTATTGTTCCTCGATCAAAAATGATTTGTTATTAATGCCCTTGCTGTCTGAATTATGTTTTCTCTTGTCTTTATTCTGAATTTTCTTCAGCACACAAACAACTACAAGATGAGAATAGAAGAATACAACATGGCAAATCTGACTTTATTAAGTTATTAATGAGTTGTTAATTTAAAGTCTGTTAACATAAAATATCTACTTAACAGACTGTTTGTATTCATTTAGTTTTGTGTTTATCTTGGGTCCACTAAATCTTTATAAGTTGTTTATAATGTATTCAGTCACTGATGTACTGTGTGATGTTAACACAGCCTATAGTGATTGTAACTTGTTTGTAATTTCAATGTCAAAGTCACCTTTATTTATGTAGCACTTTTTTCAATACAGATTGTTTCAAAGCAGCTATACAGTGATATCAGGAACATAATACAACATTGATTGCTTACAGCAGATCTATAATGTTATTTTCTTGTCTATTTCAGAAATTTCTTTCGAACGTGATCAACTTTTACACAGTCAGAAGATTATTCTACAAGAAGGTGAATTTGTTATATGCCTTTATTAAAATTTGAATTACTTTTATTTTACGATTATTTTGCAAAACAATGAATTCATAAGCTGTGTATTCGTATATCTGTCTGTGCTATTCATTATATTTTATTATAGGATATACATTATAAACTGTGTAAAGTTTTCTTGAATTTTGTTGCTCTTCAAGCAGTGATTAAATGATTGATCTCATTATTGATCTAATGATAAATTCTGTTATGAACCCTTTATAACTTCATACTTTCTGTTTCATACTTAGCTCTCCGAAATTTAAGAACATACATAGGTGAGTAAAATCATTTCATATGTATTTATTTTAAATTCCTCATCATGTCAAACATTTAATAGTTAATTTTTTTGATGTAAAGCACTGCATAAATGCAGCCAAATGATTCATATACTAAATGATCAAAGATGTATTGCCTATTCTTGCATAAGAAATTATCCATTTTTACATGCAATTAACCTAATACTATAACCAACACTAAACTAGGAACAATTACACTGGAACAATAACACCTTAAAATAAAGTGTAACCGAATTTTGTATTGAACGTAAGAGACAAGGGGGCGGGGTCTATTTCACTCAGGCAACCAATCAGTCTCTCAGGATCATTGTGAAGCCCAAGCCCTAGCAACAAGTTCCATAGACTTCCATTGAAAGAGATCAAATGGTATATCTTGTGAAGTGTCGTAGAAACATGAACGTGGGCTCATTTTACACTGTGCAGCAAACGAATCACAAATCACCTTAAACACTTCCTAGCTTCACCATAGCAACCATGGTCAAGAACCCTAGCAAACCCAAAGAGGGATATCTTCAAATCTGAATGTCATAAAGGGATTGCGCTTGGTTTTTGTCATTCATTCTGACACGCAGCTGTTGGAGTTTCATCATCACTGGCAACTCACAAGCCACTACCCAAACAGAGTTTCCTTGCAACCGTTTACCACATGGTTCTCCAGTCCTGCAGAGTTCAGCTCCAACTCCAATAAAACACACCTGAACCAGATAATCAATGTCTTAGTAGACATAGGACTACACACTTGCAGGCAGCCATGTGTAGAAAAATTAAAGCTACACTCTAAAAAATGCTGGGTTGTTTTAACCCAACTTTGGGTCAAATATGGACTAACCCAGCCATTGGGTTAAATTTTTACATTACATTTTTAACCCAACATTTCGGGTTTGTCCATATTTGACCCAAAATTGGGTTAAAACAACCCAGCATTTTTTAGAGTGTAAACAGAATCTGTAGGACTGAAATTGGACACCCCTGGTTTAACAAGACCTGTATCTCTGCATCAGGACATCTTGTAGAGATAAGCGCAGACTCTTTGACTCATGCTAGCAAACAGAACCTTTAACACATTGTACACATGCTAACAGTGAGTACTAACTATACTTAGTATAGTTGGCTTACAGTAGCTTCTTGTTATTAGTATGTAGCATATGCTACTAATAACAAGAAGCTACTGTAAGTTTTTAAACATGCTTAAAATACTAATTATTAAAACATGATATAAACGTCAAAATGTGGTATGATCAAGCTAACAACATGCTAACTCATGTTAGCATCACCTACAGGTGTAGCTATGTGTTAAAATATGTTAAAACAATAAAAAACTAGCAACTGCCTGGCAACACCCTAATAACCACCTAGCAATGCACAAGACACCAACCAGAACACCTTAGCAACCACCGATTCCATAGTCATCACCTAGCAATGCCCTAGAAACCACCAAGAAAAACATAGCAATCACATAGCAACACCTAAGTAACCAAGTACCGTAGCAAGTGCATAGCAATAACCTAACCACCCAGAATGCCTAGCAACCATCCCAAATACCCTAGCAACCACCCAGAACACTCTAGCAACTACCTAGCAACATGCTAGCAATCACCCAGAATATAAGGCAACTTCAACGTTTGCTTAGAAACTTTTTAATCTTGTTTACAATTAATGCAATATTTTTTTATTTTTGTTGTTGTTTTATCTTGTTCTAAATGTACCATGATTCGTAATTATAAAATATAATTGTCTTATTTTATCATTTACTCATCTGTAAAGCAGACTTTTCTATATTTTCAGCAGTGAAAGTGACTCTGGATGCTGATTCAGCTCATCCACGTCTCATCATGTCTGATGACGGGAAACAAGTGAGAGATGAAAACAGCCAAAACGCAGTGGATGATGGAGAACACAGGTTTAATTATTATCTTGGTGTTGTCGGGAAGAACGGATTCTCCTCAGGGAGTTTTTACTTTGAGGTGAAGGTGAAGGATCAAACTTGGTGGGATTTAGGAGTGGCCAGAGAATCCAGTAACAGGAGGGGCAAGCTCGGCCTGAGTCCTGATAAAGGATACTGGACTGTGAGACGGAGAGTTAAGAGGTATTGGGCTCTTGAGTCTCCACGTTCTGTCTCTCTTTCTCTGAGAGTGACGCTTCAGAGGATCGGTGTATTTGTGGATTATGATGATGGTCTCGTCTCCTTTTATGAAGTAGAGTCCATGAATCATATCTACTCTTTCACTGGTCAGTCTTTTAATGACAAACTCCTTCCATTTGTTGGTTTGGGGTATCAGTGGGAATATGATTGGAGGGATAATAACCCCACACCACTGATTATCTGTGATGATTATTAATGACATCAGTGAATGAAATTACAATGTCTAATGAAATGTGTTTGTTGATGAATGTCCAGATTGAGGAAAGCTGGAACCAAAGAACAAGCTCAAATATCAGACATGTTCATTTTCATACATCATTCCCACATTTCCATTTGTGTTATTCAGATTTCATGACTTGTATGTGGATATAGCCATGCCCAAACTTCTGATCCTAACTTGTTAGATTTTAGACACAGATGAATAGATGAGTTTAAGTTTGTTCATGTGTTCATATATTCTTAAGTGCTCATTTGTATTCTTGATTTTCATTCTTTTATTTGGATGGATATCGTTCACCCAAAATGAAAATGTTCATGTCTTTCTAACCCTGTTTTTATTGTTCTATTAAACTAAATATTGAGATGTTATGAGTCTGAGCCATTGTATACGCAGTAGATTGTTACTGTCAAGCTCTTGAAGGAATAAATGAGTGTCATAATATTGTGTGTTCAGAGTTAACGGCTGTAATGGACGGATATCACGAGATTCACACTCATGTTCAGTGTTGATGATGCAATTTAAGTCTTGTTGGTTTTATATGAATAAAATAAGACACCCAAAGTAATATTATTTCCATTCGATAGATGTTATTATAAATTATAAATCCCTTTTACTTTAAATTGCAGACATATACATATATATATTTTAATTATTTTTTTTAATTAATCATTTGGACTCAGATCAGAGATCAATAATCTCCATATGTATCTCAACAATGGTGACATGCTTCATGCCACAATGCATGCAGGGAGACACCATAGTTTAAAACCCATTGCTCCCAGCATGCATTGCTGCTGTGTAAGAAAACAAGATAACACATACAGTAACAAAACAAGAAAGACAAAGAATGTATTTCATTATAAAACTTTATTGAAGGTTTGTTTCTCCTGGATCAGGATGGAATGATATGAAAAAGACTTGAGAGCCAGAGACTGATAAAACCAGACATTTAAGAGAAAGAAAAGTTCAGTGCTCCGCGTTGCACCCGTTCACTTTAAAACCATTCAGAGCTCAACAACAGCCCGTATGAACATCCACATGAAGCGTCTTGAGAAGTGTTCGTTTAACTCTACACACTGCATTTCAAACGCCGTCTGTTCATTTCAACACAATCAGTGTGCTTTCAGTTACACCAGTCCTTTTAAAACAGCAGGTCATTGGGAAAGCACTGCTCATATTTAAATACCGCAACAGTGAAACCCAAACCGCATCAGCTGCCTTAGTAAGAGTTTCTCGACAGCATCTGCTGAACATCCACTTTGGCCTCTTGATCATTGGCAACGTGTAAAATCTAGCAGAAATAAACATAAAACAAGCTGACGCTAGAAGCCCCGCGGCTCTCAGAACACGCCGGCACTGAGATCTCCGGCTGGCCCGTGTGAAAGGCAACACATGAGCACTGAAGCAGTGATCGCGCCCTCTAGCAGAAGCTGGGCCGGGGTTTGGCTGTGACAGGCGTGATCGCTGCTATAGTTTCAATGTTCCCGGTGGAAGACTTCCATTGCACAGTCTGTAGAAGCGCAGATCGTTCACGATACGATACACTCCCTGAGAAAACGACGGCAAGTCCTGTGAGGGGCGGAAAAGACAGGGAAAAGAGACGTGACTTGCACATTAAAACGAAGACGGTTCACACTGCATGACTACACCTACGACATGTTTTGTGAATCTGACAAAACTGGCCTTAAAAATGTCCTGGTCGTATTGTACTAAAATTTGTTTCCAGGTATTTTGACAATAACGGCTGTATGTTTTGATGATAAATAGAGCCAGCCTTCAAAAGTTATTAACCTGTCCTGTGATTTTTTTCTTCTCTCTCACGTCCGGACACGAACTTGTGCACATGTTTGTTGGTTGTTTTTACATCATAATAATATTTCATATAATCTAGATATGGAATGAATAACATTCAATACAAAATGATCATGTCTCGTATATAGAAATAAAGTTTTAAGTGATAAAATATTTGCTTTGTTGTGCATAATCCCACCAGGCATTTAGTCATATCACAAAATAATTTATTGAAGCATCCAGACACTTCACCACGTGAGCAAGCAGCTAGGCTCCTGATTGGTTAACACGGCACGAATTGACGCCAAAGTTCAGATTTTTCAACTCGGGCGGCAGACGCGAATTCGCGTCAAACACGTGAATGCAAAAATAGCACTAACTAAATCATTCGCGCTTAACGTGCCAGACGCTCATTCGTGCTATTCGCGCGAACTTGACACGCGAATGAGGTGTATTCGCGTCTTCCACGCCGCGCTCTACGCCTCATTCGCGCCGCAGAAATTTTTTACGCGGGTAATGCATCTTTGCATTGACTTAACATTGAAATCATTCACGCCTGACGCGCTATTCGCGTCCGGTGTGAACGCACCTTAAGAGTAAAAAAAATGTTCCAGCTTTACATCAGTAAAACACACTCCAGTAATTGGATCTTCAGGTTTGAATCACATGAGTCAGGTTCACTCACTCTCTCTGGCGTGAAGTTTCGGGCGAGCGTTGTGCGCTGGTGAGGGTCGAGGCCTTGGCAGCCGTTGAGAAACTCTGGCAAGAAGGAAGAGTAAAACGCTTGGAAATCCACAGCCGCCATGTTGTAGAGCGCCAGCGTGATGTCGTCCTGGAGGAGGTCGTGACTCTTGTGCAGCAGGACTTGCAGGAGAACATTTATGAAGTGGAACAACATGGAGTTCCTGAACAGCTTCTGAAATACACACACCATCACTAACCAAACCACACACACCACTGATCACTCACCAAAACACCCACACAACACTGACCAAACCACACACCCACACAATAAGCCCTTTGATCACTTGTTTCTTACTAATTGTGGGGTGCTGATTACAAAAATTGCTCTAGCTCACAAAATATGATGTATTTCGTAGCATTTTTGCTTTCGACAACTATTTGTAAGGTGAAGTAGTGTGTATTATCCATAAAATCACCAGAAATACTGCAATAAAGACTTGATTCCTATCTAAATCTGTTCAATTCTCAGCTGACCTTCACACACAAGACATTATTTCATGCCTGAACCTGTTTTCAAGGTTAGAAATATGGCCAGGGACAGAAGGAAATATAAACATGACTCAGATGTTTTCTGATGCTTCTGTGAGTGTTTTCCAACATTCAAATGGCAATGGAAAATTTCAGGTTTAGTAAAAACAAAATATATACAGTTTTGTTAACGAAGTTCTTTAACATTAATTGTATTTAGCCATGTTTCTCCACTCCTTTGAAGAGACGTTTAAAGTCCTAAACATATAGAAATTATTTATGTGTATATGCACACACAATCTGATTTGAGCAAATTGTCAGCGCGTCTTACCCTGTGGTACAACTTGTGTTTGGTGTTCAGGACCTCCAGGTAACTCAAGTTTTGTTTGAAGATGTGAATATCCGGCTGTAGGAAAGACTGACCAAATGCCTACAAATCAAAGACACGATGCTCAGACACAAGAATCACACGTAACAGCGTTTCCAGCTCTGCTATTTAATCTGCAACTTGTGAATCTTAGTTGAACTGCAAACAAATTTACAGAAAGTAAAAAGCCAAAAATAATTATACAGCTATGGAATTTCATTAGTGCGACTTCTGTTGTCTTCACAGCAGTGTAGCAACTGTAGCTATACTCCCAGCTAACCATATACAACCACCTAACTCTGATGCAAAATGACAATAAGTCGTAGTAAGCGATTTCTTGCTCTTTACTGTAGCTTCCAACATCATCTTACATGACAGAGTGAAAACTGTAACAAAGGAATAAAGTTTGACTGTTTTAACGTTAATGAATTATACATGTAAATAAACATTGTAACTATGTATAGTCTTTCCTTTTTAAACGATATTGTAACATTAACTTATTAACATAATGTATTTAGTGCCTCTAGTGCTAACAGTGCTATCAAAATGAACGAATCTTTTTCCGAGTCAATTCGTTCGTTGAATGAACCAAATGACTCGGAAAAAGATTTGCTCATTTTGATGAACGAGTTCGAACAGGAGAGTCACGAACGTGCATCACAGAACAGAGCAAGACGACCATTTGACCTTATAAAACTTAAAAAAAAAAAAAAAAAAAATTGAATGAGTGATTGTTTCGCTTGATAAGACCCTTATTCATCGTCTGGAATCGTTTAAAGCCCTTTGAAGCTGCACTGAAACTGTCTTTTGGACCTTGAACCGTTTGGTTCCCATTGAAGTCCATTATATGGAGAAAATCCTGGAATGTTTTCATCAAAAATCTTAATTTCGTTTCGACTGAAGAAAGAAAGACATGGACATCTTGGATGACATGGGGGTGAGTAAATTATCAGCAAAAGTTTTTCTAAAAGTGAACTTTAAGATATGTTGTAACTCAGGCTCTAAGGGCAGTGACACGTGCGGTCGATACCTGCATGGCAGCCGTGAACTGCGCCTGGTTCTCCATGAGTTCTTCCGCTCCGGTTCTCTGTACGCTGCTCAACACTGAGCTCTTGAAGAAGAACCTCCAGTTCTGATGAAGAATCTGGAAGAGCAGCTCGAACATCTCAACTTTCACATCCGGACAGGAGCGCTGCAGAACACAGAGCGGAGCGAATTACAGGAGCTTCCAGAAAGAAGACCATTAGAGGACTTTTAAAGTCGGCACGAAAGTTGCAATAATCTTTTCTTCTCTATTGTAACGTACTGGTGAAACGGCTTCTCAAAATAGGCCATTTTGAATTCAGGATGACTTGTATGATAGTAACTTTAAATCTTACCTTTACCGTCGGTCTTGTAAATGCTAATGTGTTAAATGTTCGGCATTGTAGTTTCTACACTATAAAAATGTTTGTCATTTTTACAGAAAAAAAAAGGTGGGTTATGGTAACCAAGTTATCTTACAATATATGGTGGAGAACTACATGGTTCAACATCACGCATGTAATTTTATTTTAAAATTTACAGTTTATGCAAGTACAAACTATGAATTACTGTATAATATACAGTGAAAAACAGTAAAAGTGTATTCCGCATGATTATATTGTGTAAATTTAGTTTCTTTGTATCGTTTCTGTTATTTTTGTTTATTGCATAATTTTAGTGTCATGTCACTGACAATTAACTCTGATTTATCATGTGACTTTCTACTATGTTTTTAATGGTGATTATCAGTACATTGTAAAAATGTGATCAAATATACGGTAACGAGTCATAAAATCTATGTTTATTCCATACAGTAAATTTATGGCAAACACATCTGCCGTTTTATTTTATTTTTGTAGCGTAAATCAAATGATGTTGGGAACTGGATTTCAACCGTAAGCACTCTGAGGTGGGGTGTCATCAACTCATGTCTCGTACCTCTGCCACTATTGGGTAAACCTGGTCCAAA